TTGTTTTTAGCTTTTGAGCTTTTGATGTCAAAGGCTCCTGACATACTAGGGCAATTACTTGGTTAAGAGTAACTTCGGGGAGAGGGTATCTGAGGCGTCCCTGGAGACCAAATTCTTCCTGCGCCCAGAAGAGCTGCCCGGCGGTTGCTACAGACGCTGGTCTGCTCCAATCATCGCGCGGTTTGCTAGGCTGTCAGCGCCTCGTGGTTACCGTGGCAACAGCTAGCAACGGTGGCGCTGGACGCCGAGGGCCAGAGAAGAGGCGGCAGCGTGCGGTGGGTGAGCTCAGGGGTCCGTGGGCTGCGAGTTTGTGAGTTGAACTTCGTATCTCCTCAGGGGAGAGAGTGTGGAAATGAGGTGGGAGCCGCGGTGTGCCAGGGTCGCAGGTCCTTGCCGTGGTCCCGGGGACGGTACCTCCAAGAGGGGTTCAGGGAGGGGTGTCACCTCACTTCCCCACCCCTAGTCCCGGGACCGGCTTCGACTTTCCAACCCCCTTCCTAAACTCTTCCTTCCTCTCTTTTCGTCCATAGAAGTCACGTGGTTCTGAATTTCTCCTCGGGAGAATTCCCCAGTCAGGCAGGTAGCTGGGGGCGGGCGTCCGCCTGGAGGACAGAGGGCCCGGGTGTTAGCTGAGGAACCCGGAGGAATGGGGTGGCACGCCGCTCCCTCTGTCAGCTTGTTCCCCGCCGTCCTTCTCCAGATGGTTTTACCGGGTGGAGCCGGGGCCGAGCGCACCCAGGTGCTCCGCGCCGGGAGAGGAGCCGGCCAGTGAGGAGGCTGTGTGTGGGATTCGGGCAGGGCTCTACGCCGTGTCCTTCCATTCGTTTATGTTCCGTTTCTCCTTTCCTGCATCGATTGGATCCTTTTTAAAAAATTGTACTATTATTATTACTTTTAACACTTGAACCGGTATGTATCCAGTGTCTTGGAAAAGTCCGTCGAAAATCTGTTACGAAAAAACTGGTTTTCAAAATTACTTTTTAATTGTCAAGATAGGTGTCTCAATTCCACTTCCTCAAGCTTTCTGGAAGTGCCCTTGTTTTTTCCCAGGGAAACTCTTTACCATTAGCCTTCAAGATACTGAGGTAATTGAAGTCCCCGCTGTGGGACTAACCCGGTGTGTTGCAGAGAAGAAAAAAAAAATAATCCACTAAGGCGGGATGAGTGTCCGTGATGAGCAGAGCCAGGAAAGGCATGCTGAACTTGGCGGGGTTTAAATATCAGTGCATCATTAAGTTTAGAGTTGTACACAGGCAAAGGTGATTTCCCAGACAGCCCGCGTGTGCTCAGGAATTACCCATTTCAGAAAGCAAACCACTGAAAAGCTTAACTACTGGAGCTGTCTGGGCAGCTTTTGCCGAGTTGTGGTGTATGGACCACAGATGAGGAGGATGTTGCCGTCTGTCCCGTCACACCTTCGCTCTCCTGAGTTCTGCACGGCCCCGTTTTCGCACTGGTGTGTCTGTCTGAGCATGTTGAGGAGATGGCCAGGGTGGGGGGTGGCTACCAGGATGCCACTGTCTGCATGGCGGGGACTGACTCCTTGGCATGGTTCACGTGTCTGTCCCTTCGTTCCTCCAGTGTGTGCTGTCCTCCCAGCGCTTACATAACCAGCGTGTTCCTGGCCCTCCGTCCCCGCCTCCTGTGGACAAGCACAGTGATTGCGAGGGCAACAGTCATCTCTCAGCTACATGGCAGCGCGTCTGTCTTCTGACTTAGCTGAGCTATAAGCGCACAGTTGGAATTGCATCGTCCTGAGGGTTGCAGCCCTTTGGGGGGGGCTGTCTTTGTGTAGTGATTTAACTTTGCTTAAATGCTCAGCTATACTGGGTATGATCAGTCTTTTCCAGTCTTTTACATCTAATGGGAAGAATAATGGTGATCACTTTGTTATAGATTATGCTTTCCTGATGAGTAGTCAGGCGGAGAGTGTTGACCATGTGTGATTGCATCTCTTTGGTTATTTTTGCCAACTTTTAAATTTAGCCGTGCTTTGTATATCGACTTAGAGGAGTACTGTATTAGATAGTGATACTTTGGAAGTTATATTGAGATATAATTAAAGTTAGTTTTTTTTCTCAGGATATTCTCGGGTATCCTTTCATGTCAGGAAGATTGATGTGTACTCTGTAAACAGCAGACTTCACCAAGAAATTTGAAAAAAAAAAAACACACACACAATGGTTGTAAAGACCTGGGCTAGGTCAGCAGCTGGAGCTCCATGCCAGATGTCCCATGTGTGTGACAGGACTCCAAGCACTTGAGCCCTCTTTGACTGCTTTGCAAGGCACATTGTAGGGATGGCATGCTGGCATGCCCACTTGCGTATTAAAAAAAATTTTTTTTTCATGATTCTGTTCCATTTGAGTACTTTTAAATACCAGGAAGTAGGATTGCTATGTGCTAAGTGTGTGTTTAACTTTACAAGAAACTGTGAAGCTTTTCCAGGGCCATTGTACCACTGTGCACCCTCACCTGTATGGGATGGGAGTGTTGCTCCCGACCTTGGCGACAGATCATGATGGAGTTAATTTTAGCTACTTGGTGTCATTCTGGCTTTAGTTTGCATCTCCCTTATGACTAAAGGTGCTGCACAGCATGGAATTATTTGTTACTGTATCTGTAGTGAAGAAGTTTGCTGGATTTCTATTAGTTTAGAAATGCTTGCCTTGACACATTTTTGTATGTATAGTTCAGTTAATGATTTGTAAGAATATGGTTATAGGAGAATCATATGTTGTTTTGTTTTGGCTGAACACAAGGTAACAGATTTTTCTCCTAGATTTCTTCTTGAAGAAGTTTCATAGTTTTAAGTTTAGTTCTGTGATGAATTTGAATTCGTTTTTGTGTACAGTCAGGCAAAGGTAGAGATATATTTTTCTTATGAATGTTCTTTTATTCGAATTCCATTTGTTAAGGAAACCTGGAATTACCTGGAAGTTTTGTCAAGAGTTAGTTAGCCGTATCTGTGTATCTCTTTCTGTTTAACACTGGAATGTATTAGTCCCCAATCATTTCAGGCATGTGTTTCTCATGTGAACTGACAGTCATTACAACAAAATAGTGTATTGATTTTGTAAGTCTTTGGAATGTTTTTAAGTCGAGTAATTTTAATTCTACTTTGCTCTGAGTTTTCAAATTAAGTTGAGATATTTTTGGTTGCTTTATTTTTCCCATATAAATTTTAGAATTAAATTGTTGGTATATAGATAAACCCTGCTGAAATTTTGATTGTATGTGTTGACTTGTGTTTTAGTTTGGGAAAATTGACATTAACAATATGGAATCTTCCAAATCAGGTACACAGTGTATTTCCTTTTATTTAAGGCTTGTTTAATATCCCAAAGCAGCGTGCTATAGTTTTCAACATACAAATTTTGTAGATATATTATTACCTCTATAAGGTTTTCCTTTTATGTTACTGGGTAAAGTATTGTTCTTCAATGTTCACATTCTAATGATTAATTTCTTGTTATTGTGTGTAAAATGCAACTTATTTTTGTCGTTTGATCTTGTATGTTACAACCTCGCTATATTCACTCTGTCTCCATCATTTTCATTTTGGTAGCTTTTTCTTATTTTCCATGTAACAAGCATGTCTGCACATAAAGACAGGACTAGCTTTTTTTTTTCTTTCTTTCTTCCCTCCATCTTGCAGTTGGTGTCACCTAAGTCCTCCAAAGCACTGTTGACTAGAAGCGGAGCTGGCATCTGCTCGTTGTTACTAATTGTAGAGCAAAACGTTTCATCCTGCACTGTCACTCATGACATCATCTTAGTTTTTTTTTTTTTTGTGGAAATTGTTTATTATGTTGCTCAAGTTGCTGTGTTTTACTAGTTTTCTGGGAGAGTTTGCCCGTGAGTAGATGTTCACTATTTTCACCTTCTTCCTCTACCTCAGTGAAGAGGATCGTGGGATTTTTTCCCCAGTGTGTTGCCATGACAGATTACAGGGTTGTGTTTTTGAATGCTGAGCGTGCTTTATTCTCCCCTCCATAAGTCTCCTGTGGTCATCATGGAACACTGTTTTATATGCAGTTGGGTTAAATGTGCTTATATTTTGATAGGGGTTTTTAAAAAAGATTTTTATTGAAAAGTCATATATACAGAGAGGAGGAAAGACACAGAGGAAGATCTTCCATCTTTTGATTCACTCCCCAAGTGGCTACAATGGCTGGAGCTGCGACAATCCGAAGTCAGAAGCCAAGAACCTCTTAAGGTGCAGGTGCAGGGTCCCAAGGCTTTGGGTCATCTTCACTGCTTTCCCTGGCTATAAGCAGGGAGCTGAGTGGGAAGCAGGGCCTCCAGGACTAGAGCCACCACAAATATGGAATCCCCGTGCTTACAAGGTGAGGACTTTAGCTGCTAGGCCACCGCACCAGGCCCAAGGATTTTTATAAATCCATTCATGAGGGATATATGCTTGTATTTTTATTTTTATTTTTATTTCTCTGGTGATGTCTCTTCCTGTCTTTGGTGGTAGACCCACCCATTTTACAAGTCTGTCTTCCATTTTTTGGAAAATTTTTGTATACAACATTTGTATTGTTCCCTAAATGTTTAATGTTCATAGATTTTCAACTGTATTTATGGCATAACATCTTAGCAAAAATTTTAAATTTTCATGCAGCCAAACCTAGCAATCTCATCCTTTGAGTTTTGTTTATCAAAGAAAGTCTTTTCTATGTGAAAATGATTTGCTTTCTATCTTTGTCCAGTTTTGTATTGTTTATAGATGATGCTTCTTCAGTTTATAGGGAATTATTTAGTGGAATCAGAGGTTCACTAAATCATCTTAATGTAATCAAACGTAGCTTTATTTTTTTTTCCCTCCAGGATTAGTGGGAAAACCATTTTTTATGGTTTCTTTAAAATTTTTTGTAGACTTCCAAGTACACAAGGATTTAAAAAAATATTTTCTTGAAAAATTACATTGCTTACCATCCACATTAATATATTTTATTAATTAACTTTATTGCTTTGAAAGAATTTTTATTGGAAAGTCAGACTTAGAGAAGGAGAGACAGAAAGAACTTCCATCTGCTGGTTCACTCTCCCAGGTGGCCGCAGTAACCGGAACTGAGCTGAGTTTGAAGCCAAGAGCCAGGAGCTTCTTCCTGGTCTCTGATGTGGATCCAGGGGACCAAAGACTTGGGCCAGCCTTCGCTGCCTTCCCAAGCTATCATCATCAGGGCACTGAATTGGAAGTGGAGCTTCTAGAACTCAAACTGGTGCCCATATAGAATGTTAGTGCTGCAGGTAGAGGCTTGGCTTGTTATCCCACCATGCTGTCTTCCCACCCCCCGCCCCGCCATTAAGATATATAATTACTTAACAGTAATTTCTACATGTGGTATAGTTTGATAGGAGAATCTTTGTTACTTACTGTATGCATACTGACTTGTTTAGCACTCTATTGAAATGTCCCTAGTTACTCAAACGCTGTTACTGTCATAAATCATATGTCCGAGCATCTCTGCCACTTTGATTTTTAAAGGCAAAGTGAAATGTAAGAGGCTGGCATTGTAGTGTTTTAGATAAAGCTGGTGCCTGTGTTGCCAGCATCCTCCGTAGGCACCAGTTCAAGTCTTGGTTCCTCCGCTTCTGACCCAAGCTCTCTTCCAATGATCTGGCTCCTGACTTCAGATCAGCTCTGCTCTGGCCATTGCAGCCTTTTGGGAAGTGAATCACTGGATGAATGATCTCTCTCTCTCTCTTCCTCCCTCTCTCTCTTCCTCTAACTTTAGCTTTCAAGTATGTAAGACTATTTGATGTGAGGCGGAGTATTGCTTTGGTGTTGTCAGTACCGGCTTAGACCCACCCCCACGAGTGTGCATCCTTTTGCAGTCTCCTTGTTTGTTCCTGCTTCTCAGGCTTCATCCAGGGCACAGCTGTTCCTCCTGAAATGCATGTTCAGAAATCTCTTAGTGTAAGTTCTTATAGCCCTTCTCTCTTTCTCTCCTCTGTTTATGTCCAAGTTTCCCCGCAGTACTTTTCCAAGAACATTTTCACTGTTTTAGTATGTAGGCAGCACCCACAGTTAGATTTCTTTTTGTTTCCACTTTTGCCTTTGACATCCCACGATCTCATCCGGACGTGTCTGGATGTGTATTTATACATTCTCAATATTGACTTTTTTTCTTAAATCCATTTATCGCTATTGATCTGGGAAATATGAAGAAACTATTACTTCTTAAAGGATTTTAATGCTAACTACTACAGTTCTTCAAAAAGCCATGGAAAAACACATATTCTGAAACCAAGCTATGCTTGTTTTACCAGTGTTTCTGAGTGAAAGTTTGCTTACCTGACCATCTGCTGTGTCAGAATTGTATGTACTTTGAGGCAAAGAACCTGTGTCAGAGCAACATCAATTCTGCTAAAATTGAAGAGCCAGAATGTAATTTGTACTGAAGTTTGGGTAAAAGAATAGTGAAATCATTGATGCCTTGTTAAAAGTTTGTGCAGGAAATGCCCACAGTAAAGTCAGCAGTTTATAAATGGATAGCTTACTTTAAGAAGGAATGAGAAAGGGGCTGGCACCAGGGTGCAGTAGGTTAAGCCTCTGACTGCATTTCCAGCATCCCATATGTGTGCCAGTTCATGTCCTGGCTGCTCCACTTCTTTTTTTTTAAGATTTATTTATTTATTTTTATTACAAAGTCAGATATACAGAGAGGAGAGACAGAGAGGAAGATCTTCCGTCCGATGATTCACTCTCCAAGTGGCCGCTACGGCCGGTGCTGTGCTGATCCGAAGCCGGGAACCAGGAACCTCTTCCTGGCCACAGGCAGGGAGCTGGACGGGAAGTGGGGCTGCCAGGATAGAACTGGCTCCCATATGGGATCCTGGCACGTTCAAGGCAAGGACCTTAGCCACCAGGCCACGCTGCCAGGCCCCAGGCTGCTCCACTTCTAATGGCCAGAGAAAGCAGTGGAGGATGTCCCAAGTCACTGGGGGCTCTGTTCCCACATAGAAGATCCAGAAGAAGCTCCCAGCTTCAGACCAGCTCAGTTCTGGTCATTGCAGCCATTTGGAGAATGAGTCAGTGGGTGGAAGATTCTATCTCTGTGCGTGTGTGCGTGTGTGTTTGTGTGTGTGTGTTCTCCTTTCTGTAACTCTTTTGAATAATCTTATTTTAGAAAAAGAACGAGGCAATATTGAGGATGAAGCTCAGTGTAGTAGATCATCCTGATCAATTTGTGAGGAAAAATTAAGCATGTTCATGGCCAAATCGAAGAGGACCCATGTTTGTTAGCAGAAACGGTAGCCGATGCTTTAGAGAGCCCAGTGGCTTCGGTCATTCTGGCTGAACAGTTGAATTGAGGTAGACGACTCTGATTACGTGTGCAGTGATCAGCTGCAGGCAAGTCAAGTTTTCCATGGGAATTGTATACAAGTGGGATCAAGATGCTAAAGTAATTCTTCGAGGAATCCTAATGAGATGAAACTTGGCTTTCCTGGTTTGATCCTAGAGACAATGCAGAGTCAGCACTGTGACTACCAAGAAGTGGAAGTGATCCCAAAGCAAGAGTGGATGGGTCAAGAGCAAAGGTTACAGCAGCAGTTATTTTGGGATCTCAACTCAAGTTGCTTGTTAACTTTCTGGAAAGCAAAGGACCAATAGCACCTGCTAATGAGGAGTGAGAAAATGGCAAAACCCCAGGGAAGATTTTACCGGCAGGTTCTTCACCATAACATGATGCAAGCAAGGGCTATTTTTGAGATGTTTTCAGTGAGAAGTTACGAGGTATCTGAAAGTCCTAAGTTCTGACTTGTTTTATACTTACTCTTCAAGAATAAAAATGTTAAAGGGCGTTCATTTTCCTGCAGTTAGTAATGTGAAAAAGACTGCATTGACACGCTTAAATCCCCAGGACACTCAGCTCTTTCGAGATGGACTCAATATTTGATATCATGACTGGCTATCTTGAGTTTGGTGACACTTATGTTGAGAAATAATTTTACATATTTTTGTTTTAATCCATTTCCTGTTATCTTTCCCGGCACGTTTTGAAGCTCCTTGGTATTCCCCTTCGGCGCATGCTCTAACTGTACCACACACGTTAGTCGTGCTTTTATATTCCTTCTGCGAATGTTCTTGTTTTCCCTGTAGCTTAGAACTGTGCTTTTAAAGTCCATGTATTTGGAGATTTCCTAGATATATTTTGTGTTTGATACCTAGCTTAGTCCATCTGTGAGAGTATCTTGTCCGTCATCTGTTCTCTGATATTAGGATTTGTTTTACAGGTCAGCACATTGTCTGCCATTTTTTAGGAACTCCTTTTGTGTTTTTTGCTGTGTAGGTGTGCCTGCAACACATGCATTCAGCTTTGGTTTGTTTGAGGAACTCTTGTTTTGCCATTCGTTCTGAAGGTCAGAGACATCGAAGTTGCCTTTCCCCCTCCTTCAAGGCTTTACGGTGTTGTTGTTGTTGTTGTTGTTGTTGTTTTTTCCTGATGGTTTACTTGGAAAGTTAGAAGGCCTGTTCGTTGATTTTTAACTATATATTTTGTTCCTTGAATTTCTTTTCCCACGTATGTTTCTTTGGGGCTACTTTTCCCATTCTCCTAGTGCACTTGCCTGTTTTAATGATGAGCCGCTTGTTTTCTTCCCTGGAAAGCTACTCACGGCAAGTTCTGCAGGGCCTGAGCCGAAGTAGCCGCCCATGGAAGAGGCTTTGCCTGTGTCTCTCCTGGTCCCCCAGGAACCTGCCTGTCCAGGCTCACTCTGAAGGGCACTCGCCCGTGGAGGCCTTTGGAGCCCACTAGCCACGAGAATTTGGGCTGTGTGGTCATCAGAGTTGGCTTGTGGCTAGAGCCTCTCAGACACTTTGGGGTTTTCACGTCCCTTCCAGGTTCATTGCCAAGGAGACTTACCTAGCATTTAACTATGGCTGTGAGCACGGGGAGGGTTGATCTTTTGTTGGGTCTCACCCTCCAGGGTGGGGTCTCCTGTGACCGCCCCCACAGGAGAGTTCCTGGACTTTGACCCCTCTCCTGAGGCCCTGCAAGCTGAGCCCACAGTCCCTGTCTGCTGAGGAAACTCAGGATCCATTTCAGTACTCCACCCACCTCCTGTGGTTGCTGCTTTCCATTAAATATCGATCAGCTGATAATTCTTTCTGATCTTGTTAACTCTTCTGTTGCCTTTTTGGGGGGGGGTGAGGGGGGTTGGCGGTAAGAATTCAGAAAGGAATTTAACCAGTGATTTTGAAGTATATTCACGAGGATACATATGTGTACATCAGGAAATAATATATAATTGCTTGATTATAGTTTTTAACACAGTAGCCCACATTTTGCTTGTAAAAATAAAGCCATATACATTAGAAAAATAGAGCTGGAAAGCTCCTCATGCTTCCCTTTCTTCTAACACAAATCCCCGTAGGTAACTGACCACTCTGATTGGTATATTGCCTTATTTATTGAGAACATCAGAGCAAGTCTCTTAGGAAGTGTGGTCACTTTGGCTGCCCACATGTCTGGTAAAGATGGAAGGATTTGTGCTTAGCTGCTGCCAGTTGAAGAGTATGTTTCTACTAGGGAGTTCAGTATTTTCATGTAAAATAGGTATAATTATTTTATTGTGCATTACTTTTAAAGATGTGAAAATAAGTGCATGTCTGAAAATACCTGTGGGAAGATGGCATTTGTAAGGCATTGGGAGTTTCATACCTTATATACGCTGCAAAGGACAAGCCATTAGACGCCCTTGGCTTGTGGGTGAGAAGGGGTCACACCTTTGCAGAGTAGAGAAAGTCACTGTCCCTTCTTAATTAATGCTGTGGTGCCACAGGTCTTGAGAACAGTTTTCAGAATCTGTCTTCACTGTAGCAGCAAAAACGCTTGGAATGTGAAAGTCTCATGAGGTTTGGAAGAAGCCCACAGAGCCTGTCCGTGTGGAAGCCCTGCTTTAACTGGTGCATGTTTGAGAGCTGGGAGAAGTGGAGCTGCTTGACCCCAGGCTGCGTGGGCCTTGGGATTTGATGGTTATGCTCATCTTGGGGCACCGTGTGTGTAGTCTGCTTTGGATTCCCAGTGGGCCACAAAAGCTGAAGATCACTGTTTTGGTAGGAGCACTCTGCAGAATGCAGTGGACCGTAGTGAGCGCTGTCACCGTTGCTGTTGTTAAAAGTGAAAACACAGCGCTTTCCCAAGAGCAAAGGTTTGCTCTCAGATAATTTCTTCCAAGATGTATTTCCTCATTAACAGTGTGGGTGTCCTTAGCATATTGGTGCTCCTGGGACACAGGGAGCTTCAAATGAGGCAAAAACAGTGATAAGATCATGGCAGGGAGGACCTTAGGCTGGGGAGAGAAGGATAAGTGAGCAGTTGATATATTGTGACATATGCAGTATATCAATTGTAATTTAGTTTGAATACCTATGTGAGCCACCTTTTTCATTTCTTAAAGGATTTAAAGTGCAGTTCACTGATTTCTTTCTTTTTTTTTTAAGGGTCATTTTTATCCTTCAGGGTGGTGGGATGGAAAAGGAGACTTTGCAAAACTGATGTGTGCTCGTTTGATAGGCTGCTCAGAATTGTATGCCATTGTTAAAGTGATTTTCATCTAAAAACGGAACCAATCAGGTTGACAGATTAAAAAAAAATAAATGCAGTGACAGGAAAATAAATCTTGTTAATTTCACGTTATTCTAGTAACGTCATGGTCCAACTGCTTCTGTGTCTTTATTTCTTCAAACTGCTGCTATAAGCCCAAGCTAAACAACTTTGTCTGATTCTGTGTTCTATACAACGATGCTGTTGGTGCTTGCTTTATTGTTACTATAATAAACAAACCACCCAAGTTTACAACCACAGCTTTGAAAAATCCCTAATTAAAATAAATTTCAAGGTTAAGCTATTTCTATTCATGCCTGAAGACAATTACCCATAGTGGTAGCTTTTTAAATCCTAGTAGAGTGGTGAGCATGTTTCAAAACCAGAAAGGCAGAAATCTGTGTGTATAAAAGCCAAAAATTAGTCTTCAATGCTTTGGAATGTGCTGGTTAATTAATTATAGATGATGTGGTGGATTACATGAAGCCTTAAAGATTTTGATGGGACATGGAAAAAAAAGGGGGCCCACATATGTTTCATTTCTGATATAATCCCTTTAACTCTCTTAGGGAATTAAGGTTTAATAAAAAGAAATAAGAGAGGAATGCCAACTAAGAATACTAATGAATAACTTTAGCTCTGCCCGAGTGAGATTCTGTAATAAATAGTAGGCTGTCAGTTGCTAAACCATGAAATATTGTAGAGAGGGGAAGGGCAACATATTCTTTCACAGTGTGGCTCATGACATTAGGACTGTTGGTGGTAGAGAATTCTGCACTGGTTAATCATTTGCATTTTTGCATAGCCATTTGTAATTACAATTAAACAGATGGTTCAGAAAAAGATAGTGTGTTCTTAGCAATTAAAACCAAAGCAGGCAGATTTCTTTCTTTCCTCAACATACAATTAAACTGAACAGAATCACATAAGCCAGTGGGTTGTGCAGTGGAAAGGTTCTGAGTAGCTCTGCGTGGATTAGTATTCTGTCCCCAGCCTTTGATTTCTTGCCAATCTGAGTGGTTTGCAGCTGGCAGAGGTCTAACAAACATCAGTTTTATGAAGTGGTTACCTTTTCTCTGCTTTCTTCCCAAACACAATATTGCCATGTGATTAATAATAGGAAATGTTTTAAAATAGGCTGTCTGCCACAGTGTCCAGCTAGCTGTTGGGTTGTATCTAATACGGCTTGCTGAATTCTGGCAGTTCAGTTGATGCATGGAATGCCTCAAGATTACAGGAAAATTTTTTTCTTATCAGAAAAGCTAATATCTGACATGTTGGCTCGTGAAAAGAATTTTCTTTGTGAAAACAGTTTTGTATGAAAAGAATAAAGACCCTACTTTGGGGCCTATGGAATTCACCTAATTGCTGGATGTCTGCAACAACACATTGACTTGAGATTTTTCAACAAGTGCTCAGCGCTGAAGAGTATTTTTACCAGTGGAAATGCGGCTTTGTGGCCAGCGTCTCCTCTTTTGAACTCTGCCTGCACTGTTTGAATGGCTCCTCCCAGCAGCCTTGGAATTGGAAGCGTGCTGTGTGGTCCGCTCACAGATGAGTCTGTAGAAATGTGTTTTGTCTTCATGATCATAAATAGGACCAAGTTTCCTTTCAGTGATTTTAGGTGCAGCTTTTGTGCCCACAAGTAAGCAGTTATTTGCTCATGCAATTAACCATCTGCACCTTATTATGAGAGTGCAGCTGGCTAATTATGCTCAGCAGCATAGGGCAGGTTCAGTTTCTCATCTGTATGGGAACTGTATTTGCGGCAAAGGACGCTGACCTTTAAAAATGAGTCCTTCAATGTAACCCTTTCATTTGTTTTTTCAGTCACCACTCGTGGATTTTGGTGGAGTTTTGGGCTTGTTTTCTTCAGAAATGCAATTCATTTATGGGTACCTATATTGCCATTTGGAAAATTAGTACAGACATTTAAGACAGACATATTATTGTGAATCAGGGACAGATGAGATTCCTGTAAAGTTGAGCTTCCTTTGGCTTCTCATTTTGGAGATTGTATATCAGTACTAGTGACCACAGATTCATGAATTTGTGTGAATTAACAACTTAGATCATGATTAAGACATAAAATGGGGCAAATTTATGGATGAGCCAGTTCAATATCATTCTTAGCAATAGTTCTGTGTTATACTTGTAATTTATTGGATGGGTTGTTTGAGAGAATAACAACATCATTTGGGCCTGGTGCAACAGCTCAATTGGCTAATCTTTCCCTCTACAAGCGTCAGGATCCCATACGGGCACTGGGTTGTGTCTCAGAAGCTCCACTTCCCATCCAGCTCGCTGCACGTGGCCTGGGAAAGCAGTCAAGGATGACTCACAGCCTTGGGACCTGCATCCACCATGGGACACCTGGAGGGAGCACCTCAATCCTGGTTTCAGATCAGCACAGCTCTGGCTGTTGTGGCCATTTCTGCCACCAGCAAGTGGAAGATCTTTCTATCTTCTCTCTGTGTGTTTCCAATAAAATAAATAAATAATAATAATAATAATAAAAGAATCACTGGAAGCTTAGAAGAACCTATCCATTAGGAAGCTCCTGAGATTGTTTCCTGGGCCAGGTTTCTAAGCCTGTAAAATGTAGGACAAGAATTACAAAAGGCAAAGGATATCCAGGCCACACAAGCACAGTGCAGAGGATCTTGGGCTAGGGCTTGACGAGCAGTGGCTCCTCTAGTTCTGCCGCAGCCCACTCTAAGGGTAATTGTCTTGGAAAATACCAGTGCATTGGACCAACCATGCACCTGTGGAGTCAGGCTCTTTGGGGGAGTTGTTGGGTGATTCTGAGCTAAGGCTACGGTGGGGAAAATTCTACTCTTTTCTTTTTCAGGTAGGGTTTTTTTTTTCTCAGTTCACTTACAGAATAAACTAGGCTGCTTATAAAGTTCCAACATTATTGTTTTAATTTTAAATACTTATTATTTAATTGAGCAACAATTAGAGTTCGTGTTCATTGACTCACTCTCCAAATACCCTGGATGGTGGGGCTGGAGTGGGATCAGAGCCAAGGGTTGATTACCTAATCCAGGGACTCCCACATGGGTGACAGGGACCCTGCTATGGAGCTGTGACCTGCTGCATCCCAGGGATTACATTGGTGGGAACCACAGCCCAGCACTGGGAATTGAACTAAGACATTCCCATGTGAGCTGAGGGCATCTGTTTGCCAGGCCAAACACCTGCTCCCTCTATTTTATGATTTCATATCCTCATGGTGTAATTTGGAACTGAACATTTAGCTATACATTATTTTTGTGTGCATGAAGTGTAGAATAAGATCTAAATTCTTGATCAGATTCGAGTCTTATTTTTTTTTTAAAGTAATTCATAGTAGTGTGCACTCCCTATTCCATTAGGAGGATCATACATCTGGTTGTTTTCCTTTTAATGACAGTAAGATTGATTAGGGAGTTTCGGTGTTGTCAGCCAAAGTGATTGATCACAATGTTTCCTATTGAGATTTCACCTGTTGGCTTTGGCATAAGGGCGTCACTCCTTGCAGCAGAGTTGGCAGTGCGATCATTTGATGTATACCCATCAGCTAGAATTGTTCTGTAGAGAACAACTCTTTTCTCATTACTCTTTTGATACCATGAATTCTTTTCATATAGAACAGGAATGATTAATTCCTAGTTATTTCATGTATCCAGTGCTTATTTTTCCTCTCTTTTCCACCATCTCTCCTCCCTTTCTCCCTCCTTTCCTCTTTATCTCCTTCCCCTCTCTTCCCTATTCAGAACAAAAAAGTGATGTTTTCGTGACTTTCAAAGGTGACGGAAATTCTACCATTGGCAGCCAAATGGTCCCAACTAGAGACCGTTATGCTCAGTGAAATAGGTCAAACCCAAAAGGAAGAGAGTTGAGAGACTTTGTATTTTAGGTATTTCATCTTTTGCCTGTATGCCTTCCTTTTCTTCTTTGATCATTGCCTTGTTTCAGATGTGACAAGGTGTTTCAGGCATGTCTTGTCCATTTCTTGTCCCGCACTTGTCTTTGTGGGTGTTGATGTGTCATGCAGCAGCTCTCCACAATCTTCTCTGGATTGCCCTGAGAAACTAGAGCCCGAGTCCAGGACTTGAGTGTTGTTGATTGGTGTTGGGAGATGCTCGAAGGGGGATAGAATGAAGAGACTGGAGGAGTGAGCCATGACAGGAAATAGAAGCAGTATAAGATGTGTTCTGAGGCTAACCACTGCTGTGGGCAGCCAGAGCCTTAGGCCACTGAGACCCACAAAGGGCCTTGTAGAATGTACCTTGAAGAGTGGAACTTTGATTCACCAACTTCTTTGTGTCTCCCACTAAGCAAAGGCTGTCTCCTTCACGCTCTTGAGGCTGCATTTGTGTGGGTGCTAGGAGGGTGTAGTCTCAGGACCATCTGGGCATGAAGTGTGAGATGATGCAGTGCATCTGACGTGAGGTGCTTCCGGGTGATGCTGTGGCAGGCCCCATGCTGGTCTGCAGGATGTGCGGCCAGGTGCAGGTGCAGGGGATGTCCAGTAGATGTGGCTTGTTCTTCTTGTTCAATATAATTTTGATTATTCTTGACTCTCTTTCTCATAAAATTCTTAGATTCAGCTTATCAAGTTCTACCAAAAATTATGGCATGTGTTGGAGACTTGAGGTTTTAAAATTATTTTTATTCATTTGTATCTGTAGATAAATTTGAGAAAAATCAATCTCTTTATACTACTGAGTTTTACAACTAATAAACACAGACTTAACCAATTAGTTAAGTCATTTTAATCTTTCTTTTGAAGAAGATTTATTTATTTTTCTATTGGAGAGATGGAGTTATTAAGAGAGAAGAAAAAACAGAGAAATCTTTCATTTGCTGATTCACTCCATAAATAGCTACAACAGCTGGAGTTGGGCCAGTCAAGCCAGGAGTCAGGAGCCTCCTGTTGGTCATGGTGTGGATTCAGGGCCCTGTGGACTTCAGCCATCCTCTGCTGCTTTTCCAGGCATATTAGCCAGGGGCTGGGTCAGAAGTGGAGCTGCCGAGACTCAAACAGGTCTCAATATGGGATGCTAGCACTGCAGGTGGAGGCTTAGCATGCTGTGTTATACACCCTCCCCACTTTAATCCCTCTTAATATAATTTTACGGACAGTATAGCTCTAGGAATTTGAATTATCATTATTAGTTTTTAATTTATCTCTTTTAGAATCAGAGATGGACAAAGCTCCTATCCACTGGTCTGCTCCTATCCATCAGTCCACTCAGATGCCTTCAGTGACTTTTACGTTGGTTTTCTAAATGCCTTTAAAGGTGGTTAAATTTTTTTTTACCTAAAGCTTTTGCTTGGTGCTTACATAGTGATTGCTGCTACTACTACTACTTGCTATGACAGGAAGTGGAGGGTTTGTTTTTTTTTTAGTTTTAGCAGAGTATCTTATTATCCTTAATGAAGACATAGGCTCTATATGGATACTTTTTATGCTGTTATTAGGAATTGATGTCAACATACCCCATGAAAGCAACACACTGTTTTCTTACCAAAGTGGTAACTAAAAGGGGAAAAAAAAATGACCTTGCTGTGTGGCACACAGCTCAAGTACAATGTAATGGTGTGTAACTGATCTTTGCCTCTGGTCTTCATAACTACGTTCCATCATGACAGTCATCCATGAATTAAAATCACTACATTTGGCACGTTAATAAAATGTAAACATGTAACCTTGAACCAGATAGTTGCTAATGAAGATTTTTAAAGAAGCCACCTTATTTGTTACTCAAATCCTGAACATAGGGTGGGTTCAGGTGCAACTCCTGGCTCCTCCCTTTATTCTGGTCCAGCCCGTGCTGCTGTGGGTGTTGGGGAAGTGAACAAGCAGATGGGAGAGCTCTCTCGTGTCTCATTCTCTCTCTGTAAGTCTGTTCTTCAAGTACATTTTTTTGGAATAAGGAATGTATTAGTTTATTTGGTTAAGACACAGGGATGGCCTACAGAATTTAAAAACAGGCCTATGGACCCCGGCTGTCCCCCAGATTTAGAACTATTTCAGTGCCTACTTTGACTCACTCATATTCGTCTTTCTTCCCACATTCTGTCCGTCCACATGTCCATAATTCTACTCACATTATTATCTGCTTAGTTTTTTTTAAAAAGAAGGACTTCTTCGCTTAGTGAAAAAGCTGACACTCTTAGCTTTAAGTCCATTTCCAGGGAAGGAGTCCAAAAAAACAAGTTCTTTCCCAACTTCCAGCTCTCAGTCAAGGGAAAATTTTTGGTTCCCATTATTTGGATAATGTCCTAACCTCTGAGATCAACCAAAACAGAGGTGAATAGCATGACTGATCACGTAGACCTATTTGTCTGTACATGACAGAAAGGAAATCATACTGGGTAGTCAAAAGAAAACCACTCAGAAGAGTAGCTTATTGAGAAAAAGAGAGGGAGGTGTTTAAAAGCTCTTGGGCTATTTCTTTTTTATTTCTTTCAAGATTTAGTTATTTTCGTTGGAAAGTCAGATATACAGAGAGGAGGAGAGACAAAGAGAAAGATCTTCCATCCAATGACTCATTCTCCAAGTGACTGCAATGGCCGGAGCGGAGCTGCTCTGAAGCCAGAAGCCAGGAACTTCTTCCAGATCTCCCATGCAGGTGCAGGGTTCCAAGGCTTTGGGGCTGCCCTTGACTGCTTTCTCAGACCACAAGCAGGGAGCTGGATGGGAAGCAGGGCTGCCAGTATTAAAACCAGTGCCCGTATGGGGTCCTGGCACGTTTAAGGTGAGGACTTTAAACCCTAGGCTACTGCGCCGGACCCTCTTGGGCTGTTTCTGATTGAGAATACTGTCTTGAGTCCCAGCAAGGTAAATAGATTTGAGAAAAATATCCACTAAACTTATTTCAGGCATGTAAAAAGATATTTCCTATATTCTCTCTTGGATAGAAAATTTCGTGGATTAGAATTGATGCAGTACAAAGCCAACAGGACAATTGATTTAGAAATCATTGCAACTTTTAGGGATAGAAATGAACATATCCAGGAGTTCCTTTGCTTAGATTATTTTTCCACAAGAGGGCACAAGAAACGGTAGGCTGTGGCTTCCTGATGTCCATATGTATGCGTGTATTATTAACTGAAGAAGGGGTAGAGGGGTCATGATACCCATTCTGAACGTTGATATGTAAGACCTCATTGATTTGGTGGTCGGGTCCAGAGTAGTGATTTCAATATCTCTTTGTGAAAGTAATGAATCCCTGGCCTTCCTGAGAAACTTACAGAATAGATTACCTTGAGTGGTGCCTGTGTGTCCTGAAGCAAATGCTCCAGCTGAGCGTTGATCACGTGTAATAGCTGTGGAAGCCGAAGGCGTTCTCACTCTGTGTTTCTGAAAGCTTACCACCTTTTCAGGCTCTAATAGCGACAGAACCAATGGCATATAAAATACAAGTGACTCTGTTTTAGGAAGGTAAACAATGTTTTAAAATTGCTTGCCTGCCATGTTGAAATTAGCATATTTGACAAATTGAACAAGACCATCAAAGATTGTCTTTGCAAGTTATGGTCTGGATAACAATTCCAGCCATTCATGCTATGGTAAAACATTGTGAATTATAGATGGATAATTATTATTTATGAATAATTCTGTTTATAAAGAGACAGCAGTTGGAATGGTGAGATTGGCAGCAATTCCGAACTGATGAACTATCAAAACTGCATGAACAGGATCCTCGGAGCATGCCCCACATCTGGGACCAGGGATGGGTGGGAGGTTGGGTGAGGCTTTTCCCTTTATCTCTCCCTTTACCCAGGATACAGAAGGAAAGAAAAATATTAATGTGGAAGCAATGGTCTTACCCACTTTCCTGTAGCCCTAGACCCTTTGTGCCCTAATCAACTATGTAAAAAAAAGAGACAGCGGTCATAGCATATATCTCAGATGACACTCAGAATTGTCAAAGAAATTAATTACTTCTGATCACTTAAAAAACTCTGCACCTAAGGGTTCAAGTGTGGCCATCAGAGCTGTTTCTTGGCACTGTTTTGGTCTGTGTGGCTTCGTTCTCGGACACCATCTCTCCTCATGGGGACAAGGT